CCTGCTGACCCAAATTAGAGCAGATTTAAATCAGAGCAGGGTTCTCATTTCAGTCCAGTGAGTTGCATTCAGCACCTTCATAGCTGATGCAGTTGCAGTTTGTGAAAGCTGGATACGTGTAGTCTCAGAACCACCTGTTTTCCGTTGCCATGTTGTGCCATTAGTCTTTTTGCTTATACACAGGGCCTGTTAATTAATAGACTTTCAGTACCTTTAGTGTGTTTTCTGCCAAACTCCCCGCATGTTACAGTGCCAGTGAAATGGGAGAGAGGATTTTATAGGGAGAGTTCTTCCTATTATTCAGGCTGCAGTGTTCAGGAATTGCTTAGTTAAATTAAGGCCATTACTTCTCTCATAGTTATGTTTTTGTTTGGTCAGCTTTGATTTAATGTTGTCTCAGCAGCTAAGTTTTTAATGGCATTTTATTTAATTTGACTTCACGAGAATGGTGTTGTGCTTTCTCCATTGCAGTGCTGCAAAGGAAAGCTTGGTAAAATCTCCGCTTCCATTGCCCTAAGTTGCAGCTGGCACTGGCGTGGAAATCATTTTCTTTACAGGCTCTTCCTGTGGATGCTTTTCTTTAAATACCAAAATTAAGAAGTTTGGAGTCTTCCAAGGCTCAGTGAGACCTGGCTGTGAGGGCAAGGGGCAGCACTGGTGAAAGGGGACAGGTGGGCAAATGCCTGCAGGGTCTGGGGCAGAGTCAGTGAGTGCAGCACTTAGGTCCTACACCTGGAGATAAAGCATGCTTGATGTGTTGCTGAGAGTCATCTCACGTAGGTATTAGTACCTCCTGGCCCGTCTAAACCTCTGGTGTATTTAATACCTGCCCTTCTGCTGTCATGGAGAGGAGGAATCAGCAGCTGAGCTATTCTAGCCTATCCATAATACGGCAAAAGACATTTTTTCTTTATGGCTTGTTGTGCACTTAGAGATGAGTTGGTGTGATTTGTTCCCCTTGTCCTGCAGGAAAACGGAGCCTTGGACAGAGGAGGAAAGAAAGGGGTAGAAGATCTCCTCCCTGCTATTGAAAGTATTGGCACTGATAAATATCATTCTACATAGTAGTTCCAGATATGTTCAGAATAATTAAAAGCAGTAGTCAGTAGGCATATAATTCTAGCTCTGATAACTTCTATCTCGTTTTGAAATCAGGAAGAGCATCTAAATGGGAGAATAATTTGAGAATATGCTCTGCCTACTGTGAAACAGAATCATTTAGAACCTGCTATTTGTGTGCCTATTACATCTGTTAAAGCTTCTTCATAATGCTAGTTAAGACAAGGGGACAAGTTCTGAAGGGTTTCTGAAAGTACTTTGGTTTATGAATGCTGCTTACTCAGAAATGCCAGATTTGAATCTGCCCCTGCTCTGTATAAAATATCCACTAGGCCTGTGCAAATAAGTATTTAAACATGCAGTTTTGGAGGATCTTTAAAAGCTTTGTCCTGGATGCATATATCACTGAATCTGTTTTTAAAACAGACTTAAAAGCGGGGAAGCAATTTGGCCAAACTGCAGGTACTACTAACTGTAATGGCAGGATGCTTTGCTTATTTTTTTCTTTTTTTGCTCATTAATCTATCTGTTATATAATATAAACTCTCAATCGAGGGAAAAGAGTACAGAAATGTCAGGAAATGCAAATAAGTTCTGACTTATGTAAATGGTCCTAATTTTTCAACTTCATCAGAATACTGAATGGTTCATTTTCATTATCATTTTTCTGCTGCCTCTACTTGTATCCCAGTCCATATCCAGCTTTGACACCGATTGGAGTCTCTCAGGCATGCCTGTCAATGCTCGCTGAAAAGCAAAAAAACCCAAAGAACAAAAAGAAGCCATTAGAATTTCTTTTTATTACGAACATAAACAAAACTTCTAAGGAAAGACAATATACTGTCAAAAACTTTCACCAACTATGTTGTCCTGGAATAGCTCAAACCTCTGAGGTATCTCCTGTTCTGATCACTTCAACCACCAATTACACTTCTGAAAGGTGACTGGCATGTTTTAAAAATATGATTCTGCTGTAAATATAGGGCATTGTGCTTCATTTTTCCCACTATCACATTTGACAGTATTTCAAATATTATTTTCTTTGAGTAATAAAAGTGAGAGTCATTAGTTTGGTCTCTTTAATAATCTGTTTTTTGAATTTTCATACTTCCTCTGTCTCCTGGATATGTTCAGAAGACACTGACCAGAATGATAATGATACAGACACATTATTTATTAAAAGAACAGTATAAATCCAGTCACGGGCTGCAAAGATCTGAAAAGAAGGGTAGCATAAAATGAGGCATTTTTTGTTAAAATAAGAATCTAGTAACAGCATGTTTCTTGTCTTCTATAATTACTATATTCAAAATGGTTGGTCAGATTATTGAGGCTCATTTTTAAGGTGAAATAGCCAGAAAGTAGTTCTTGACTAGTATCAGAAGATGGCTGTTTGGACCTTGTTTTTTGGTGTTGTTTTTTTTTTTAAATAAATACTATTCTTTATGTTTTTCCTTTAGTTCTGTAAAAAGCACATGTTGTAGGCTGCAGCTATTTGATACTGAAAAAAATAATAAAATGGCTACATAATATATTTAAATAACTTTTCCTCATGGGATGTCTGAAGGATAGTAATGAAATGTCCTATTAGGTTTCAGTAGATGGGTCAT